TATATACAGGGTGTCCCAAACTAATCTCGGTTCTCGCGGTGTGCAGGTAGAATAGGTGAAACTGAGCAGAAAAGTAATGTGTCATATTGCAAAATTCGCAAATTAATAAGGAATTAATTATTTTGAGTCTAAGCTAACGAGCGCAGTGGAAGCAGTAAACCGGATTCTGTATAAAAAACAATTCTTACAATTGTTACATGTTGCTTGTTGTTCATTGAGTTATTCCGCTTGTAGAAATCAGTCGATGCTTATTGTTTCTAGATCTTCAAAGTAAGCCATTTTCTTTATACAGAGTTCGGCCTACCGTTTCTCGTGAGCTCATTAACCGAGACAAAATAATTCCTCATTAACTGTGAATTTTGCAAAATGGTACATTACTTTTCTATCAATTTACATTACTTATCTATTCAATTTCACTTATTCTACACATCGCGGGAACCGAGATTAGTTTGAGACACCCTGTGTGTATGTATGTGTATGTGCGTGTGTGTGTGTGTGTATTAATTATGTATTCATTGATGTGAATATATAATAAATAAATAAATATACAATTAATAAATTTCTTACTAATTATGAAACGCGGGTCGATTAATTATTTATCTCTTGACAGATATTTGTATATTTATAAATGAATGATGAATTCATATTTATTAATTTAGTAATTATGAAAGTATACTTACGTATAATAATTATTGTGTAATGCAATAAGCAAAAATGAGTAAAAAATTCGCGGGAGCCTGGGCAGAGAATTCAATTTTCGATAAGAAGTCCGTAACTTTTTGATATAAATTAGAAATTTGAACTCTCAGAGAGACAGCGCCCAATATTTACGGGTGGACACAGCGTGAGAACTCGGTTCGAAAATTCGATTCATCGTAGTCTGTCGCACGTGGCTCGTGCACGTGCGGCGAAAACATAAGCCAAGGGGGTTCTCGTTCGTCTCTGGCGGGGTTCCAACCGATTTAATTTCGGCTTGTTAATGCACAATGTAGAAGAGTGACAATCGACTCGAGAGAACGAGAGCTAATATTTGCTCTCGAGCACGGAGCTTTGAATTATTAACTTCGGCGACTTCTGGTGTCGCCTCGACAGAAGTTCGGGAGAAATTACGACAGACTCTCCCTCTCGTGCGGAGATTGCGTTAACAATGACTGAAATTAAACTAGTGGCAATTATGTCACGGCGTATGCCAATTACGTAGCGTAACGTGAAATCAGCCGGGCAAATGTCCTGACGGCGAAAGAAATCGATCGTGTCACTGCGAAATTCAAAGTTGCCCTTTGCGTCAAATAGAAGGGTTGCCCGAAACTTTCTCACTCGATGTTACAATTGTAATTGCAATTTGACCGTTTCTTACATCTTGCCGCGCTCGTCGGTAAATTAATTTTCACATAAAGCGGTGAACATATTATTTTTTATATTTTCATTATAATTCCTAGTTTTATCGTAATTGCAGATCGATGATTAAAAAGATATTCCAACGCAGTATTAATTCCCCCACGAATTATACGACAAAGTATATCCTCTCTATTTAAGCATTATCTCGACTTAATTCGACAGTGCTCCCTTTCTCCCTCCTTGCGCCGAATGTTTGCAGCAAAAACGTTATCTCGCTCGAGCCGGCGAGACGCGCGCAGGCACAATTGAATTATCTCGTTTCTCTCGCTCTGTCGCTCTGGATGCGTACACATTACGTATCGTATTTAACCGCGCGAGATTATACGGCGCGTAATCCGCTCATTAAGATTCGTCTAACGTCGATCGCAACCACTGGCAAGTAGTGCGAGCATACAAATCGACCAGATCGGACGCGGCACGTGTCACACCACAGCGCGGAAATTTCTACTGCAGATCTTCGCGCGATGCAGAGCAATTTCGTTATTTTGCATCCTCGCACCTCAGAAAGGCCCTGCGAGGGTCTCGTTTCTTCGAGTACCGCGCTTCCATGCCGTGTATCTCTCCGACGTTCGCGAAAGAGTCTTCGCATATTGAAATTCGTTAGAACGACTAACTGAAACCGAATTGAAATCGGTTTGATCGTGAAAAGATCCGCCGTACTCTCTGCTCTCGTCCCGCTCCCCGCGCATTTGATGTATCTTCCCCTCGTACGAACACGTCCCTCCGCGTTCCTTCCGCTTCCGCGGCGGAACGATATCGGTTGTTCTAGTTTACAAGGTATCGATTCGTTGTGCGATGTTAGCGCGCCGCGTCCGCCTTTTCGGTGGGATTAAAAGGAGAAATGCCGCAATTTCCGACTTCGGAAAGATGTTGCACCTTAATTAAAACGTCGCGGCGGGGCAGGACGAGAGGGGACGAGGAGAAGAAGGAGAAGGAGGAGTCGGCGGAGGTTAACCAACGTGGTGCGGAGTAGTGGAGAAGCCAGCCAGCCAGCCGACCGGATGACGGGGTCCGGGGTCACGGATGGGCGGCGGCAGGACTGGTTTCGGACCAGTCAAGAGAGGAAGAGGAGAGCTCCCTGCTCTATCTGTCCGGGCTTTGCGCGCCGCGCTATACCGGGTGGGAAAGTCCGAAACGAATCCGCGGCTAACCCGTGAGAAGATTGGTGGACGATCTCGTTTCGAGATCATCGTCCTCTTTCGCGTCCACGATTACAGCGGAAAATCGGGGAAAAGCCTAGTCTTTCGGGGCGAGCTGGATCGTTTCCGTTCTTCGTTCGACGAGTCCAACGTTTGAATATTCGTACATGTACGTTGCGTTCCCGAGTTCTTAAAAAAATAATGGCTCGTCGCGAAATAGGCTTTTGGAACGCCGGTATATCTGGGAGAATGGTAGCCGAGAGGCGTTCTTGTGCCAGTGCGGAAAATTTAACGATCCGGCTCGTCTGAAAACAAACAAGCGCAATCGAGCCGCGGTCCAAGGAAACGGGCGAGCCTTATCAGACGTCGAAAACGCGCCGCTCGCTTTCCGGTTCGTGGCGTCTCCGTTCGAGAAATGTACCGTTGAAGCACGCAGAAGCTCGGGCAAGCCCGGAGGACGAGCCGGGTCGGACTCGAAAGGACGTTGACCGACAGCAAGGAGAGAGCGGTCCAGGATCGAGCGAGCGAGCACCTTCTCGTCTCCGTTCGCGACAATTTAGAGAAAATCGTGAAGAATCGCCTGCTAAAACCGTCCCTTTTAAAATCGGATCTTCTGATAATTCGCGCGATTCTGAACGAATGTGAACGCAGGATTGTCCGCGATCTCGAGAACCCGAGAAGAGATCCGCGTCGTACGAATCGCGATCGCTTACGAAAATCCAATCGCACGGAATCACAAAAACTGAGATAAGTGAATTACGAAGAAGAGTAATTGTGCAGGGAGATAAAATTAGTTCGAGAGAAATGAAGTCTCGGGGATGTCATTTCAATCGCGTTATATTGCTCATCGAAAAAGTGGGAAAAATCGTCTCTTCGTTCACGTCTAAAGCATTGTAGACAGGAATTCTAGAAGTAACTCGATCGCGATAAGAAACAGATAAGGGAAAAAGAGAAGGAACGGGAAAAAAGAGGAAGAAAAGGTCGTTGCGATGAGATCTTAATAACGAGAAAACGAGGAAAAATTACTATTCGCGGAGCCGCGGAGTCTCGTTCGGGACGCGGCGCATAATGATTCTCGCGACGCATTCGTTGCACTCGTGTTGTTGCACTAGTTGCGCCACAAACCTCCTTCCAGCAACGAAGCGGGAGCGAAGGGTGAACGAGCGAACGAGCGCGCCTGTCGCTCCGCTTCGCATCGCGATTCGAGCTGTATCCTTCGAGAATGAGTAGGGTGGGAGGGACGGACGAACGGGTCAGGGGGGGGGAGGGACGAGCTGCAACGGAAGCTGTCGTGACAAATTATCCTCGAAAACAAGCGGCAGGAGAGAAACAAGAGCGGCGACGCCGAATGATGAATTAACGCGGCTATCCTTTTTGTTATCTTTCCCGCGCGCGTCTTCCACGACAGTTCGCTAATAACGTGACGTGAAGGACGCGCTCGGTAGGATGCATCCGCGAGGTGGCATTCAGAACGACTGTTCTAGATCCTCGATTGTCGGAAGTGACGAATTTTAAAATTAAGACAAACCGTGAGCGACCGAGTATGCATTGAAAAAAAATTACTCTGGCCCGCCGTTTTTCACGGAAGAGAGATAGAAAACAGCGTCGTATCAAGAGGAAAAGAGAGACAAAAAATAAACGAGACGTTGCAAAAAGGGTGAACGGATATTTTTCAGGACCCGGGGAAGCAAGGCGGGCCGGGGGTAATTCGGCAAGCCAGACAATGTAAGGACGATATAGGAGCGTCGAGATCCCGGGATGATCCCGAGGGATGAATAGAAACGATCCTGTTTACCCGGTTCTCGCCCTTCATAACCCCTCTCCTCTCTGCCTCCTAGCCCACCTTCCCCGCGACGACGAAGGCAATATGCTACTCGTGGATTTTTATAAGCGTGGACTTTTCTTCCCTGCTTCGCCATTCTCATCTCGTTCCTTGCACCCAACCCCATCCCCAGTCTCCCTTGTCTTGCCTCCCCTTTCTCTCCTGCCACCTTGTTTTCCACCCTCGCTTCTGCGAGACTATCTTGGAATCTCGACCTTAACGACTCCTGAGAGATCGTTCTGAGACTGGACTCGCACCTTCGTCGTACCAGGGGGTATCGTGGGGTGCTCAACTTGGGCAACTTATCTCACCCCTCTTCCCCTTCTTTATGGGTTTTGCTTCCCGACAGCAAAGAGTTCGTGTCTTAATTAATCGAGTTGACCCATTAACAAGCGGCTTTTCTCGCGTATTCACGTCTTTCTTTCAACTTAACTTTGCACGTCGAGAATGTATCACCTCGTATCAAGATTAGAAAAGAATTTCAAATTGTGAAAATCGTGCATAACACACGCGATGTATGGCGCCGTGAATTTTTCAAAAAACACCGAGAACAATACATCTCTCGTCGGGAGCGGAATTCTCGTTTGAATTATTCGCGCAAAAAGGAAGAAAAAGATATGAGAAAAGCTGTTCGTACTTACCTCGTAGAATCTGATAAAGGAAGACCTTGATGTGGTCCGGGGTGAGATGCTGCGGGCTGACGATGATCTTGTGCAGGTCGCTCTGGAGCAGCTCGGTGATCACGTATCTGTGTCGCGGCTCGTTAAGGAATTTATCGATTATGATCGCTCCGATTATGCCAAGTCTTCGTCGCGCCGGTGACTAGCAATTAACAGGTGATTCCTCCTACCGGATCGTTACGTCGCACCTGTGGAGCTCGCGCCGACTAATTTCGTTTGCGTGCGATGACTTCATTCAGCTTAATAAGTTCCATTTTCGGAGCGTCCGCCGAAGTATAATTGCGAACTCATTTCCGACAAAATAAAATAAAACAAAAGAAAAAGACACATGAATGCTTCGCCGGGAACGATCTATTTCAAGCGGGCGCGAAAGTTTTGTGAAACCGTCGTTCGGTATCGCGTTTACAATCATCGTTCCGTCGATTCTTATCACGAGTGACATTCGATCGGCCGTCTAATTGTCGCACGAACTGCATAAAACAATAATGAATGGGAACGGTTCTCGCATTGGAGGAGAGAGTTTTCATTGGTATAATCGTCGAGAGAATTATCCGCCAAAGAGTTATCAATCCATCAACGTCCAGGGTAAAAATGCAATCGCGCGCGCGGTGTAAAGTAACTCGCGCGCGCAATCGCGTCGCGAAATATCCGTGTCACGCGGTCGAGAGAGTTAATATTTTCACGGCGATTGTCGGTTGATTTATGGCATACGAATGCATTTGGCGAATGAACGAACGAGCGAGCGAGCGAGCGGCCCGACCGACGAATCGACCGACCGATCAACCGGGATAACATAATAGATAATGAATATCGATACGCTCTCGATGCTATCTACCTGCCGCCGACAGCGATCGAATCGGCTTATAATGAATACGATTGTGGATGTCATAATGCCGAGAGAGAAGAGGAAAAGTAGTACGAGAGAGTCCACTACGTTACACAGGCCAATAGTACCGGAAGATTACCGATTTTTAATTACCGTGATTACTGCCGTTCATTTAATTTCTATTAATTTCTCTCCGCGACGCGAGAAATTAACATCGATGGGCGAAATGAAATTACGTCCGCTCTGTATATGGCTCTATTATGAGCGACCGTATCGCCGGCGAGATCTCGAGAAGGCAGGAGATCCGGAGAACGCAATGTCAGGGGCGGCGCGACACCTCGTATGACATAATTCGGCCCCGAAAACGTTCTCGCGCGCCAACGAGCGCGTGAACGCATGAGAGACGCGTTCGAGGGAACGCGCGAGAGAGTCGAGAGAACGAAATAGTATAATGGCGGAATGAGGTCGACCGGGTAGGTTGGAATGCAGGTAGAGGCTGCCCTGGCGCGAACCTGACGCGCGGTATGCAAGTTGAAAGAGAGAGAGAGAGGTCGCCAGGCCTCGGACTGGCTTCGAGAGGAACCAGATTTTGAAATTTGTCATGATTTCGGCGAGCTGGGCTTTTGATACCGCGAATCTGCGAAAATCGTTTTTATGCTCTTTTTCCTCGCGAAAATGGAAATGTGACGCCCGACGTGAACTACATTTTTTCGCATCCGTGGTGACTCGATGAAACGGTTAAAGTTGATAAAAATTTATTAATTCGTTTAATGGAGCTTTCTTAAACATAAACTCAGTCTTTAAGCCAGTATTACTTTACTCTCGAGGCTGCACTGAAAAACCCCCCATTTGGTTGTATCAATTAAATTCTTGTTTGACCATGGGCAAACAAATTTTTGTTGTTGTAATAACCAAAGTTTGGTTGTATAAACCGAAGGTTTGGTTTTCTGAAGTTTTACAGGTTTCAAAGAACCAAACTTTTGGTTCAGAGAATTTAACCTCGATTCTTATAGCCAAAAAATTTGTTTGCCCATATTTGTTTGCTCATAGTCAAACAAGAATTTAGTTGATTCAACTAAATGGGTTTCTCAGTGTATGTGCGATATCGGTTTGGCGCTCGCGAAGATTATCGCGAGACTCGTGATGATATTAAAAGTACAAGCTATATTTCGGTCGAGCACCGGTGCTGAATTTTGCTCGAAAATTGCGGGTGATTGTCGGGTCATCGTTACGTCTACTAACTAAACGTAGCTAAGCTTCGATGGATCGGTCGATCAAACACCCGAGAGAGAACGGACTGCTTTCCTTTGAGTTATCAGCGTTCTCGACATTTCGATTTCGCGATGCGAAACGGGCGGTGCGCGGGCCCTAGTGCTCGTGACGCATAATTACCGTTTGATAATTGAAGCGTTGAGAAGGATATACACGATGTACCGCGACTACCAGTAAGCCATAAATAATAGAGAATAGAGCGTGGAAAAGCGCAATTTTTTTCGGCCTCCGCGCTGCCCAAATAAGTAGTTGAGACAGCAAATACTAAATAAGTATATTTACTTACTTTACTTTCTTAAATTTACTCAATTACTCTTCTCAATCGTCCCGACGATCTTCCTCTTCGCGATTAATTTAACAACAAACAAGTTCATGATTGTTTGTAATTAGTAAAAATACTCTCTACGAGCAACTAAAATATTCGACGGCCATTCCTTCCGGCATTTATCTTCAATTTTTCCATCATTCGACAATATCCGAGGAAAATAATTATTAGCGAAGAAGAAGCGCCTTTATCGCAATCCGCGATACGTCATAGAGGCGGCAATAACGCGATAGATAAAAAACGATAGCCGGCGGCGACATCGTGCCGTGGTAGTTTTCCAGAACTCCAGATCGGAACCGGGGAACTGTCGAGGGATGTTTCTCCCCACGGGGATTTAAAGTCCCGGCTCGAGTCCTTTGACGTCGCCCGATCTCCTCGGTATCCGATAGAATGCCAAAAGACTGACGCGTTCCGAGTGAAATTCACCAAGTTTTTTTCCCCTTTAATCGGGGAAAATTGGGAAAACATCCTCGAAATATAGAGAAACGCGTTTAATTATACACCAGACGAAAAAGGCGGCAACGGTTTGTCATTTTTTTTCTTGTAAAGGCAACAAAAACCGAACCAAAACCATCGTCCTCGTCGTCGTTGTGCAGCGCGCTTAAAACACCGCGATTGGTGGATCGATGCGTGCCTGCCTCCTGGTAGGCACGTCGACCGGTTCCTGGACAAAGCGAGAGTTGCCCCTAGCATCCTCTCCCAGCTCTCCTCTCCGCGCCGCTCCGCGCAGAGCGAACGAGCGCGAAGGGAATCGAGTATCCTGCCGTTTTCTCCCGTCTCGTTTCCTTCAGCCCACCCGATCCAAGGAAGAAGAACCTGGAAGACTCGGGATTCTCTTTCACTTGGACCCGACAAATTCCGTCTCGCGAAGAAACCGCGATATTGGACTATCATCACCGCGGGACGGGAGGTACAGGGTGTCTCACTTTTACCGCATTACTTTATAAGCCTGAAGTAACCGCCGCGTGGGTAATACGCTTCAACTAATCTTCCTTTTTATCAATTTTTTTTGAAGAATTTTAATGTCCGTCTATTTCGTGACGTTTCGGTAGAAGAAGAAATAATCGGCGGCGGCCTTTTGCATTTTTTACTACCTGGGATGGGTAACAAAGAGATGGCCGACGACGACGACGACGACGACGGAGGCTAGACTCCGAGGTGTGTTCGAGCAAGGTCGATCCGGCTCGTCCGACCGGTCAACCAAGTTCGAACTCGGCTCTCGAACGACTTCGAAAGACCGACAGAGAGAAAGAGAGAACTCGGGGCGCCTCTGCTCTCGCGCTGGACCAAAAAGGCGCGAATTTAAGCCCTACGTCGATCTGAGGGAATATATATTCCCTTTCGGTGCTTTTCGGGCAGAATTCCGAGTTTAAGCTTGATCCGTGAGCGTGAAGAATGATTTTCCATCGTCCATGGAAATCTCTCTCTCCCTATTCCCCTGAGATTCTCTGATATGTTAAATTCAATTAAATTAAATGTCGGAAATATAAGCAGCGATACGGGCGCGATTTGAAAAACTAAGCACGCAATGATTTTCAGTATAATTTTTCAGCTGTCGCATACGCGCAAGCGACCGCAGCGAACGATTAATTATACACACGACACGTTCTGCTCCGATTTAAAAAGCGGAGAGAAGCGCATACAGAATCAGTTCTCTCCCGCGACTTTTCTTCCGGACTTTTTCCTCCCCGGGGAGTCACGTGGACCGATTTTGCATACATTTAAATACTTTCGCGATGAATCTCGCTGAAGAGATGCACGACGCGGCGGACACACCCGATATAAATTTTAAGCACCGATCGCGCGCGGTGCCTGTTTAACGAAATGTCCTTCTCTTAGGTCCTTGGATCCCACGTAACGAAATAAATTTTTTTTTTTCAAATCGAGGGCTTCGGACGTGCACCGTCCCACCCGGCGTCGGGGAGACTCGTAAATGCGGCCGGGATACGTCGATTTCTGCGCCGGGCGGGATACGGCGAATTCGAGAGAAGTATGTCGGTGATAAATCCTTCGCGCGCCGCGCCGATCGCAATCCTTCGAATTAAAAGCGTCCTGCCGCCTGGCCGAGGCCGCAGGACTACGTCAGGATTCTCAACTCAGTTCGGACGTCGATACGTGCCAGGAATCGATTTCGCACACGGTGCACTTCGCAATGTCGTAAAAACGTGAATGATCCCAAGGTAACGATCCTCTATATTTCCTCCTATTCTTGACCGAACAGGACTTGGCGTTCAGGAAAAGCGGCCCAATCTGTTTTCCGTAAATGTGTGTGTGTGTGTCTGTGTGTGAAAAATCTTCCTTTCTCAGAATACTGCGAAATCGCGAGATATAAATTAAAATTTCAATAAAATTTCAAACCTTAATTCTTACAATGCGGATCTCTCTCACAATTACGAAATTAACCGGTTATTTGCAGTCGACCACCTTTGTCTTTCTCTCTTTCAATTGTACGATCGAGCGTTAATAATCACTCGGAGTGTTAGCTATTCGATAACATGTCATATACGCGTGCCGAGCGGGAAAGAAAAAAGAAGGATATGGAAGGAAACGAGAGGTGAAACGCGAACAAAGGACCCTCCACAGCCGACCGAAAAGTGCGATCGATACCTACCGCGCGATACCCGATACGCCTCGAAGAAGCTGAA